TGTTCAGAAAATTCAAAAATATATTACCACATCCATAACACATCAATGTATATTGTCACAAAAATTCAAATCAAAATTCAAAAAATAGCTTAGAAAATCAAAATGACAAATTCAACACTGAATATGACATAACAATAGCCGGGCCTTACATTTGGCCCATTATCATATTTATGTCAAATTTGCTATTTTTGTATCTCGAACAAATTTTCAAATTTGGATTTGAAATTTTGTGACAACATACTCCTATACGCCACAGGCTAAATTGCTAACGCAATACATACAAAGATACATGAAACGAGTAGCGGGTGTATCTCTTGTCTATTGCAACATTTGGATGCTCTTCAAGGGTGGTTGTTAGGGGATTGACACGTAGTACATGCATAGAATCGCTAAGGAATCGCGAACCAACCCGTGGTTGGATGGTTAGGAGGACAGTGGTATCCTCAGGCCACCAGGGTTCAAATCTTGGTTCTCGCAAGCAATATTATGCACAAAATTGCACAGATGAAGCATGTTTCATACTATCAAATTTTATGTCTAGCATGCCACTAAACGTCATCTTTTGGTGGATAAGGACCGGTGCTAAGTAGAGAAACTAGCTCCATTTGGTTCAATGATTAATGACAATCACATTTACACATCAGCCCGATATGTTCCAGCGGAAGCTCCATATCTTAGGATCGCATGCCGACATGGTGAGTGCTAATCATCACTTTCACAGGAACTTTATCAGGGAACTCAAAGCCCCTTTTAAGATCAAAATGTTTTCTTTGGTATCGATATAGACGGGTGACTTGATTAATGATAATTTGGCTAAGCACAATTGGAATGTAGTAAAAATAATGATGTTATTGTGATGTGGATGGAACAATATATGTAGCATTTGTTTATCCCTTGCCCCTTTGAGTGTATCTTGTGACAAATTATGTTTGTGGTGTTTAATCTCCAATGTGATTGAGAATTGGTTGTGAGGGGGTAGTAGACAACTTTAGGCTCAAATACAGGGTAGGGGTGTGCCTTTATGTTGGGCAATTTGAAATATCATGATGATACTAAATTTAACCCCCAAAAAAGAGTTTTCAGTGTCTTACAGCTTATTCGTACGTCTACCCACTCAATTTGTAAAGTGGGTGCTCACTTTAGCATGTGGAGGCGCGGGAGTCTCTTACCTGTGCCCACTTGGAGATGGTTGTTCAGGCTATGGCAATAGAAATAGTCGAGCATAAGCGCAACATATAATCTACATTGCTCTGGCTCCGAACTTGGCCTTTTATTTCCTTTTTAAGAACCGATAGTATGAAATAATGATGGCTACATGCACCTTTCCTCAAAGAAAAAATGATGGCTACCTGCACCAATCGATGTAGAACACGGAGTGCGTCCTCCTTCTCATGAAAATGTGGATTTGCATTTATCCCCTCTCACCCCATGACACATGTAAAATAACCCGATAGTTCTTTACGCCAGTGCAACAATTCCCAAACCACACGACTGCTATTTGTGTGGTTTGGTTATTCCACTTTGTACTTGCTAAATGTCCAATTTTTTTTGGAAGTTTCACATTAGAAAATCATCTCTTCTTACCTCATTTAGTTGTGGTTTGACCACTTTGCATCCTATTTCACATTTTTCTACCCAATCTGACCGTTGGTTGGTGGAGCCGCTTGTCAAGCCGATCAAAAAAGGATGCAAAATGACCAAACCACTTCTAAATGGGGACTTAGCAAAAATATGTCATATTTGATTCGGGGCCTCCTTGACTCGTAGGTTTCTAAAAACAAAGTAACAGAAAGAACGTGGGATTGAAATGTTATGTCCATTCAAATTCCAAAGGATTTTGGTTTGTTTGATTGTGTCATGTTGTCATAGAAAGAACAAAAGATTCTATTCAAGAGGCTTGGGTGAATGTTAAGTTCATATAAATTTAGTTTTCCCCTTTTTTTGCTAATTTTTTTGATCTATTCACCAATAGTCAAGGCAGTGCAAAGAACACATGAAGTAAAAGAAACTACATCCCGGTCCTCCCTCTCCGGAGTCGGACAGACCTTGTTGTAGTAGATAGTCTAGAAGTTGTTTGTGCTAAGGTCCCACGGGATCAACACATCAAAACAATAACGACTGCCAATGAAAAGAAGCATACATCAAAAGGACCAACATGTATAATAAATACAAACATACACGAACGAGGAACGAATCCAAGTGGATCCACCAAAGACAAACACTGACCGAATCCCGCGAGATTCATCGAAAACACATCTCCAAACGTCCTTCGACAACGCTAGAGGCGCCGCCGAGACGAGGGCTATGCGGGGACAACCTTACTCCATCTTCAGGGAGCCGCCGGCTTGCCCCCAAACAGAGAATAGT